CCCTTCCCCTTCTTCCCCTTCCCTTCCTTTCTCTTGTGCTGGGGATGGAACCCAGGGCCTTGGGCATGCTAAGCAAGTACTCTACCATTGAGTTACACTTCCAGCCCTTGTTAGACCATTTCTAAGTTGCAATCCCAGGTTTTTCCTTTTCATGTACTAGATATTAGTATATTGTAATTACTTCTATTATCCTGTTTCCACAGGGATTTCAGGAGTTTTGTTTGCTTTGAAAATCAGCACATGCAATACATCTTTAAGACACTAACCTAATTTAACCATCAGAATGTTGCCCATATCTCCCATAAAACTAACCACAGGTTCTTGGCTATTCTGTCTTGCTAGCATGGTGAGAAATAGGCCAGAAGTGGTGTGTGGAGCTGGCTTGCTCTTGCTGAGAGCTGACTGTGAGTGTTGTCTCCCACCTCCACAATCTGTGATCAGGTTCGTAGTTTAAAATTGGTCATGCAAAGCATGTTTATTCAATAGGAATTGGAAAACTCTCCATTTCCAGGCCTTGCTACTTCCTAGAGAGCACACCAGGTAGGGGTGGGTGTGAGTGGGAGTAGATGGGCGGGTAATTTTCCCTACAAGGTAATACATAGCAAGCATGGATCCCAGCAAGCTGTGGGAAACTCAGTGGATGGCCCAGGGAGGGGACCAGTGTCAGGAGCAGCAGCTCTTAGGCCATTCGACACCAGATGTGCCAAAAGAAAGCACAAAGACCCAGCTTTCATTTCATTAAAATGCAAATGGGGTTATATTCAAGACACTTGGGTCTCTCTGCTCAGCTTGCAAAGGAACCGAAGAAACAAAACGTGCTGCTTAAGTGCCAGAGGCTGGAAAACTCCCTGCAGCCGGGCTGAATGAAAGTGTGACACTGAAGGGAAAAGCCCGTTGCAAACTTCCATCCACAGGTTCCCAACAGTTGCACCGCTACAGTCTAATCGCTTTCATAAATCATACATTTCTGGGCATTTGCGGCCTATGGAAATGATAACAGGGAGGGTGGCCCTGCCGACCACAGGGAAATGGCTCCTGAGCTGTCACTCGCTTCTCCAGTCACTCTCAAGCCCGCCCCTAGTTGGCTAGAAGAGTCCATGGGCACAGTGCGCAGCCATTCATTGCACAGCTCTGCGGGGAGCCCGTTTTCCCTGGCGGGCCAGCTCACAGCTGCTTACCTTTCACATCCGGGTGGCCGGAGAGCTGTTGGAGAACTAGAAGACAAAGAAGAGCTGGGCGTCAGTACAGCTGTTCATCCGACCTGGGAGGGCCAGGGCTTTTCACCTGAGACCCAGAAGCTGAGGTTTACCTTCAGCTGTCAGGTTAAACTCAGCAGTCACTTTGCCAAAACTGTTCTTGATGCAGCAGTAATAGAGACCCTGGTCCTTCTGACTGGCTTGAACGATGGCCAAAGACACGGCAGAGCTGTCCCCTGCGCTGTAATAGGGGACATCAATTTTCACATACTTTGTCACTCTCAAGTTGCATTTTCCTAATACCCTGAAGGAAAAAAAGCTAATGTCTCCTTGCCCTCATGTTCTCAGCCAATGGGCTGGCTAAAGAACAAGATGCTGACAAACTGTCTAAGCCAGTTGTTCATCCATAGGGAAGGATCGTTGGCATTTGGTTTAATGTTCTCTTCCAACATCTGATATGAATGCACAGAAACTTTTTGGAATTTAAATGCCATCAGTAGAGACAAGGATGGGCATTGTAAATGTTAGGGCTGTCAGTAACACATCTGCTCAGAATTCACCTTAGTTATATTGTTGACCAGGCTGTTCTACGCTTGAAAGAAATCTGGTAACTCCAACCCAAACCTAAACACAGACATAATAAGGACCCTTGAAGCACAAGAATGCTTTGCTTTACTAAGAACCCTTTTAAATAGTATACCCCCTTAGTGCGTACCACCCGCCCACCCAGTCTCACACACTGTACTGTGAATATATGGGGATATAGCTCAGTGGAATAAGTGCCTGCCTATACTACAAATATAAAAACTAGTGGTGGTGGTAATGGTGGGCAACGGGGATGACAAAGCTAATGTGTACTGAGCACTTGCTACGTACCAGGAATTGTGCTAAATACTAAGGAGTCTATTTTATGTCATCCTCAGCAAAACCCAATGAGAGAAGTACAACTAGTATGCTCAGTTCACAGAAAAGGAAACCAAAAACAATTTAAGCAAATGATCTTGATCTCACTAAGTGACCTCCCTAAGTAGTTTATGATTCCTGCCCTTAAGTCTGGGATAATCTGAATGATGATTACAGCCACAATATTTATTCCAAAGTTTCAAACACACTTTGCAGGAAAAAAATGATATTCAAATGGTGTTCTAATTTTGTTCTATATAATGAATTTTGTTAAACACTCACCAAGATTCCCCCCCCACCACGTGTTGTGTACATTCAATCTGGATTCATTTCATAGTTTAATAACAAAAATCCAATTACAGTATCTTGAATCTGTCTCAGTTGTAAGTTCAGCGAAAGTGTTCATTATTGGCTGGCTTTTCAACAGATTTGAAGTCTCTGATTTATACATGCCTCTTCTGGAATGTTCCCATGTCTTCCCACAAGGTGCACTAAATCATAATGCTCCCTGTACTGATATGCTCTCTCCCTAAGCATATCCAGAATGCATGGTTCCCACTGGATGTAAGAGTCCTGTTCTACCTGAAAGAATAAATAAAACTCAAAACATACAATAGATGATAGAAAAGGGAAAGAAATTGCTCAGAGGAAGGAGTGACTGGGGTGAGAGAAAGAAGAAAAAAGAAGGAAGGCAAAAAAA